GGGGCAGTTGTCCAGCTCGATCACTTCCAAACGGTCGTGCGCGCAGGCGCCGTTTCCCAAGTGGCGAATCCCGTCGTCCGTGATCAGCTCACAGTGGGACAGGCTCTGCATCCAAACACAAGCAAGTCAGAGGCGTCTGCCATCGGCAAACGGGAGCCAACGGCCTGCCGGGGGACACGGGAGAAGGTGGCAACACGCACGGGCCGGTTTGCCACGCGGGTGTTTCGGACAGGGCGACGCTCCCTCCTTGCACTGGAGCTGCTGCTGTGTCCAGGCGGCTCCGTGGGTCTCCAAGGGGCAAGGGGAAAGCTCTCAGCTGAGGCACAAAGGGAAAAGCTGCTGCTGGAAGATGAGACCCACGGGCCAGGATGGCACAAAAACGGAATAAACATCTCTGCTAGTGAAGAAACCACCTTTGTGAACCTGTGGCTTTACAGACCGTGGGGAGGACCCTGTCACTGGCTCTAAGAACCGGCAGAAATAGGATGTCACCTACTTGGTGCATTTTTTTGGGAGACACATCCTAGAAGTTCTTGAGGAAGCGGGGCTTGAGCTGGGAGACAGCATCAGCCTGTTCCTTGCCAGGGGCAGGAGGGAGGGCTGCACAGGAGAACCCCCCAACTGCTGCCCCCATCTCCCAGGCCAAGTGGGCCGTGACAACGGAGCAGGACACGCATGGACGCAGAGGAAAGACTGAATTCCCAGAAATTTAGCCCAAGAGGAATTACCGATTCCAGAGAATTACTGCTTTCCAGAGCCAGCGAGCTGCCCAGTCTCAGCTGCCCAGCTCCACGCTGGAGGGAAGGAGGGCTGCGCTCCCCTCGCCCACACGCGCCCCAGAGCCGGGTTTGTGGGCAGAGTCTGCCGGGCTTGCCAAGGACGGCCAGGCCGGTACCCGGAGGATCCGGCATCCCAGAACTCATTCCCAGGCAGCTGCGGGTGCCTGGCGAGCGATCCACGCTACCAGTAGGGGAGGGACAATAGGTTCTGCGGGGTCAGGTTCCTAGTAGAATTCCTAGCGGAATTCTTCCCAGCCTTCAGCACACATCTACGAAGCCGAAGAGACAAATCCCCACGGGCAGCGCTTAAAATCCCTTTGTTTGTAGAAGGAAAATGCTGGAAGTCTCACTTCTTACACTCACCAGAACTTGAAGCCGCGGACAGTGTATGGAAAGCTGGATTAGTGTACTGTCTGTTATCTGGAAAAAGGAAAAAAAGGGCAATGTGATGCTGGGTGCTTCGCACAAGGACTTCTTTCCCCCTACAAAACTGCAACCTGTAGCCTAATCCGTGAGAGCGTTCCTGTTCCCCAGTCACTCTCCTGAGCCCCTCGGGAACTCGTCTCCCACGTGACAAAATTCCAGATGGACAGGTTCTCCCCCTCCCGCACAGGAATCACCTCAAGGCCTCAAAAGGGCTGTCAGGACACAGCGATTGCTGTGGTTTTTCAGTTCCCTTAAGTGCGCTCATGAAACGAGCCCAGGGTTAAGAGGAGCAAGCGAGCGGAGCCGTTGCACACCACAGTGTCCTAAATGTTTGTCTCAAGGTTTAAAAAGGTGCCCAAATCCCCTTCCAACAGCTCGGGGGATTGCAGAATTGTTCCTCTTTATTCTTCGGGAAGAAAGAGACTCAGCACAATGGATTTTCAACCTAAAAGCACCCAGAAGGGAACTTGCTGAGCTGCCTCTGTTCAGCGCAGCCAGTCCAAGGACACAGCCCTGTTTCCATTCTTCCTTTCTTTAACTTTAAATCACCTCCCTGTCTGGACTATTGCAATTTCCTTCTTGTGATCTCCCGAATTTCTGCTCTGTAAACATCAGGAAGTACAGAATACCAGGGTCACGCTGTTCTCATGGCAGGAAGCGAAATCCCATTAGCTCCACTGTCTTTATCTGTATCAATTCCAAGTCTATCCTTAGGGTTAGAGATCCTTCCTGGGACCCTGGGTAAATTCGACTGTCCTCCCCTGCCAAGGCCACCTTGAAACGGTTATCGGCTCGCGGCACACCCCCCACAGAACAGCACGAGACCTCCTTCGAGCTCAGGAAGGAAGCTGCAGCCCAGGGTTATCGGGAGAGTCCGACTCATTCCACCGCATCCCTTGGGGAAGGCTAACGGAGCACGGGCACCTCGGTTTTATTTCAAGGTGATGAAGTATAAATCTGTATTTCTCCATAAAGTTTCTCTATAAAATCACTGCTGTGCACACGATCTGGCTGTGGTTTTCAAAACAGAGGGGACTTGCATGATTTCCAGCAATGTGGGTAGCACAAACCTTCCCCTACGAGGAAGGATCCTGCTCCGGGACCTGTGTCCAGGTCACAGTTCACCCATTATTACGTGGCCCTGGGGCCACATCATCTACTGTTCAAGATTTATGATTTACAGTCACATTCACGACCATGAAATATGACCAAAGGCTCAAACCATAAATTCAGTATTTTCTTACCATCATCTTGCTGAGGATGCTAAATCAAGGTCTGATTTCTAACATCCACCTTTTCACTCTTCCCACACTGCTGCGACTGTGCTAAAAATAAAAGTTAACAGCCAGAGCTGGCAGCTCCTACCTGGACACACTCTTCCAGGTCCATTTTTTCAAGCTCGTGGCAGTTCTAGGGAGAAAGAGAAGATTGACGCCACAAGCTGAGCGCGAAGTTCAAGACAGCAAGTAGAAACACAACTACAATAAACCAGCCCTTTTTAAAACATGGTTTGTTTCCCCCGTGAAGCATCATGACTGAAAGTTTGCTGCTTCTTTACAAACATCACCAAATATAATAAAGGAAATCTGTTATATAGTACAGGAAACGTAGCAGTTTCACTCTTTTAAAGGCACTGAGGGGTTTTTATGTCCATAGACAGTAAAGGAGGTTAAATTTAGGGTCAGTTGTAGAGAACACTGATGAATCTAGGGGGAAAAAAACAAACAGTAAAGCTTATGACTCAAGTATTTCACGCTTCAGGTGGTCTGGACGCCCGTCCTCCTCGACACGTGGGTCAGGACAACGCCGACGATCGCACACCACCTCATCTTTGCAACAGCCTCCACTGAAACGTGGAGATCCAAAGCATGCCAAGAGAAAGCTGCTGTTTGTTCGGATTTCTGACAAAGACAAAGCAAAGAGACTCGACGGAAAGGCGGAAACAAGCACTTACCCTGGCGAGAGTGGTAAAGCCCACGTCTGTTAGCTGAGAACACCTTGCAACTTCTAATATTCTGCACAGAAAGAATTTATAATAACCATGGTGGAGTCATTCTGCTTTTCAGCGTTTCATTAAAAGCTTCCAGCACCCCAGAAAAGTTTGACCCGGTTTTAGGCTGTGCTCTCCGAGCGGATAATTTGGCCCAGGGCATCCACCCTCTACACCTGAGCGTGGGTCACAGGGAGGGAAAAGGAGTCGTTGGGCTACGAGGGAACCCCACGGGTCGTGCAGTCCGTACCCCGGTGGGAGGGGGGTGTCTGATCCGACAAGTGTTGGGCTAAGGGGCTCGTACACACCCTCCTTGCTCCCCAGACGCTCTGGTTTCCACCCAAAACACAGACCTCGTAGAGAAAAAGGGTGTAACACCCCGCACCCTGGGGCCGGGGGGGCAGAGTAACTACTTCATGCCGCGACAGAGGAGCGTGACGTCCCTCAGGGCCAACTGCTTGTTTCTCTGCTGGCAGATAAAACTTGCTGGCAGAGTTGCTGCAGCTCTAGAAGTTTCTTCACAACGTCAACGTACTTCTCTACCTTTACCGAAAAAGCAAGCCAGCCTGCCCGCGGCGCGTGACGCGTTTCACGCCATCAACACAGAAACTGCCTGGAACCGAAATCACCTTTCACCTTCCCCTCTCAAAACGGGGTTCATACGCTTGCACGCTGCACTTCGGACCCATAACCAGTGAAACGAGCTTATCACAGCACACAGTTGTGGGGTACCCTCCCCCCCACCTTGGCAGACACGTATTTTATGCCATTTAAACCAGGCCACTCGGCTGTTACAGATGTCAGACAATAAAACTGTCTCTTCTCTCTGCACCTGCCCATTTTTTGAATTACAGTGAAGCTTTCCTGAAGAAATTTGTCCTGATAAAACGAATAAAAGTCTTAAAACATAAGTAAAACCCAGCAAGCACCTGCAGAGACGTCACAGGGAGCCCCCTCTGCCAGGCAGAGTGGAGGCACAAACTGCACCTACTACAAAATCAGCACGAAAACCCCGTTAATATGACACGTCAAGAGGAAAAAGTGTTGTTGAAATGTGTTTCCAGCTCTCAAGACAACAGAAACGTAACCTCAACTGGCTCTCATCAAGGAATAAACGTAGATACACAGTGGTGTAAAAGGAGGCTGCTACTAGGAGCATCTAGTCCAGCTGTGGGGTCCTCAACATAAGGATATCGACCGGCTGGAGCGAGTCCGGAGGAACTCACAGGGATGCTCCGAGGGCTGGAGCCCCTCTGCCATGGGGACAGGCTGGGAGAGTTGGGGGGTTCAGCCTGGAGAAGGGAAGCGCTGGGGAGACCTTAGAGCCCCTTCCAGTGCCTGGGGGGGCTACAAGGAACCTGGGGGAGACTTTTCCCAAGGGCAGGGAGTGACAGGACAAGGGGTAATGGGTTTAAACTGAAAGTGGGGAGGTTTAGAGTAGATATCAGGAAGGAATTCTTCCCGCAGAGGGTGGGAGCACTGGGACAGGTTGCCCAGAGAAGCTGTGGATGCCCCATCCCTGGGAGTGTCCAAGGCCAGGCTGGATGAGGCTTGGAGCAACCTGGTCTAGTGGAAGGTGTCCCTGCCCATGGCAGGGGGTGGGACTGGATGGTCCTTAAGGTCCCTTCCCACCCAAACCAGTCTGTGAGTCTGATTCTACGATTTATCAGCAGTGCACACCACCACGGCAGGGAGCTCTTCCACCACACAAGCTTAGAAACCAGAAGTTTGGGTAAAACTACGATCACCCCACAGCAGACGCCTGGCAAAAAGCCCAGTGAGAAAACATGCGCTTTCGGAACAACCTTCCGGGACTGAAACGGCTCAAACATTACAGGGCCGCGACAGCACGATGCTTTGCCCAACGTTCCACGGGGTGACCGGCGCTGAGATCCTGCGCGGAACTTACCTCAGCCGTGGGCAGTTCTGTCCCAGGGCGTTCAGGATGGCGTCTGTGATGTTACAGCAGCCTGAAGCACACAAGGATTGTAACTTGTGGCATCCTCTGCATATTGTAATGAGACCATCATCTGTTATTTGCTACAAGAAAAACAATAAGAACATCACAAGCCATAACAGCGTAGGTGGAGGTGCAAGGCCCTGCGTATTTTCCTTCTCGGGCTTCCAACGAGGCCACGTTCTGCTGCTTTCAACCCCAAAATGCATTCGAATATTTCACTGGAGCAGCTGAAACAGGATAGTGACTTGTAAACATTGGGGAAAGTGATTCCACATGCACGGAAAATGTTTCCGAGCCTGAGGCGCTGGAGCGACGGGGGAAGGCAGGGTAGCAGCAGGGCTAGACTCACTCTCCGGCCGCCCCTGCAGCCCTTGCTGGTAAAGCCCTTCTTGGCCAAACCTCAAGGCCACCTGAGAGTCTGAGTTACCCACAAAATAAGCAGCAGGTTGTGATCACAAACGGCCTTTTAAAAATACACTCGAGTGGGACCAAAAACCTGAACCGCGAGAGACAGGCTCGCAGCCCAAATCGGGCCGAACCCACGCCGTGGCCCTGCAGCTCCGTCGACCGGCCGCGTCCCCGGGCACG